TATTAATTTTTTTTTTAATAGAAAACTCCTAATTCGTGTTTCGTCTGGCGAACATGTCTCTTATCTAACTGTCGCGACCCGAACAGGGCAGCAATCACAATGACAACAACACGGTTCCAGAAGGAGAATGCTTTTTGCACATCACTCCATGTACACGCTGAAAACCCGAAGTGAGCCGATGATCGCCGAAGCAATCAGTGTAATGTGCCTTGTGATTTGGCGCCTTCGGCGTTTATCGGATCAGTTCGTGGCGTTTGTTACATTCGCTTACTTCGGTTTTCTGCGTGTACAAGGTGTGATGTGCAAATGGCACTAGCCGTTCCAGGCTAGCGTAAATAGTGCAGTCTGGCTCGCCGCTAGACAAGTTGGGACAAGTAACGAACATATTTAATAAACCTAGGGAGTAAAAAAAAATTAAAACTGTAACGAATGAATAAAAATAAATCATTTTTAAAATAACGTTTATGAAAGAAATTCTGTCTTTGTCGAATAGTGAGAGGCGGGCACATACGAATCGTTCAGCTGGCGCCATGGCGCCCGGGTGCACAGGGTTGGGAACCCCTGCTCTAAAACAATCCTCTAAAACCAATCCTCTTGCTTTCCAGTTTTTGATGTGGATGAACCAGAACTTTCTGGTGCCAGATGAACTGACCTGTGAGGGTGACCTCCACTACACCCTGGTCAGCATGCGAGAGTCTGGCACCCTGCGACTGCGCATGTCACAGACTGGTCAAGTGGCCATCCACACGGAGGACATGAACCTAGCAGGGGACATCATCCAGTCTCTGGCACAGTTCCTCAACATTGAAGACTTGCAGACCACAGCAGACTTCCCTGTGGAGATTGAAAACCTGAAGATGGTTTTAGTTAAGGTCAGGTTGGGTTTAGTTAAGGTCAGGTTGGTCTTAGTTAAGGTCAGGTTGGGTTTAGTTAAGGTCAGGTTGGGTTTAGTTAAGGTCAGGTTGGGTTTAGTTAAGGTCAGGTTGGGTTTAGTTAAGGTCAGGTTGGGTTTAGTTAAGGTCAGGTTGGGTTTAGTTAAGGTCAGGTTGGGTTTAGTTAAGGTCCGGTTGGGTTTAGTTAAAGTCAGGTTGGGTTTAGTTAAGGTCAGGTTGGGTTTAGTTAAGGTCAGGTTGGGTTTAGTTAAGGGTTGATGTAAAAACCATGGGTTGATGTAAAAACCATGGGTTGATGGTAAAACCAGGATGGGTTGATGGTAAAACCAGGATGGTTGACCTCCACAGGTGGATGAGTTCCATAAAGTCAGGACAAAGCTGACCGCTGAGATGGCTGACCACTCCAACCTGATACGTAGCATGGTGGTAAGGGCTGAAGATGCTCGTATCATGGGGGACATGTACGTATATATTTTATATGGGGGACATGTACGTACACTTTTTTATATGGGGGACATGTATGTACACATTCTTGTATGGAGTACTTTCACTTTCTTATGTGGCTGGGGGGGGGGGGGGGAAACGACATGTACGTACACCTAATAATATAGGGGACATATATGTATGAATTTATGTATATGAAATAAATATATAAAATAACTAGTATGAGCCGGCCCGCGGCATAACATACGCCGCTATTTAGTTGTTTTATTGTCTACTTTTCAGTAATTCATAATTTGTGAATTCGACAGTACCAATGCTGACACTGAAAATATTTCTTTAAAACACTATAAGTAGCTCGTTAAGGACCATAACCCCCCCCCCCCTTCCTTCCTTCCCCCCCCCCTCCCCCCCCCCCCCTACGTTTAAAATCATTGGCTCTGCTTGTAAACATTTAGAGTGAACACAGCTCACTAAGATCATGTAGGGGTGGGGAGGTAGGGAGCGCGTTTACAGCTTGTTTTTTAGCGGCTCCCAGAAGAGAATTATATATATAGATTTTGTGTGGGAACTGCATTATTATGTAAGAGATTTTTTATCAGCATATATATATACACATATATATATATATATATATATATATATATATATATATATATATATATATATATATATATATATATATATATATATATATATATCCCTGTATGTGCAGGAAGAGCATGAGGAAAGGTTACATGGAGCTGAATGACCTCAACCGTGACCTAATCGCTGGCTACAACATCAGGTGCAACAACCACCAGGAGCTGGTCTCTTGTCTCAAGATGGTCAACCAGGTCATACAGAAGGCAGGGCGCTTAAGAGGTCAGTGGTAGGTGACCTTGAGAGGTCAGTGTGAGGTGACTTAGAGAGGTCAGTGCGAGGTTACTATGCGAGGTCAGTGCGAGGTTACTATGCGAGGTCAGTTTTATGTGACCTTGAGAGGTCAGTGTTAGGTGACCTTTAGAGGTCAGTGTTAGGTGACCTTGAGATGTCGGTGTAGGTGACCTTGAGAGGTCAGTTGTTTGTGGCCCTGAGAGTTGTATGGTCTAGGGAAGTCAGTGTTTGTGTTAAGTCTAGATGACCTAGTGATGTTGAGTTCTAGTGGTGTCTAGATGTGCTGTTGATGTTGAGTTCTTGTGATGTCTAGATGTGCTGTTGATGTTGATGTTACCTCTCATGTTCTACTCATGTTACAGTGGGCAGGTACAAGACACAAGTGATTGCCTCTTGTCGTAACGCCATCAAAAACAACAACACACCCTCGCTCTTCAAGATCATCCACACCGGTGTGGAGTGACACACCCTCGCTCTTCAAGATCATCCACACCGGTGTGGAGTGAGGATCTCTCTTCAAGGTCATCATTTAGGGTGGGGGAGGGTGTGGAGGTATTTTTGTGGAAACAAGTTCTATAGTTGAGATGTTATTCTCTGAATGCTGTGAGACAGTTTATGGAAACAAGTTCTGTCGTTGAGATGTGGTTCTGTGAATGCTGTGAGATAGTTTAGAATAATTTTCTCTCACCATGTTGCTGCTATATGATGCCACATGTTGATTGCTCCAGATTTTTTTATCTTCAGGTTGTATGAACATTGTGTTGTTTTCTTATTGAATGCACAAAGTTGTGACCTTTGAACTCCAAAATGTTCTCACCTGTTGTGTGTTGGATGGATTGTAAGACAGATTTAGTGAGTGAAAGAAACCCTTGTTTATTGTTTGTTTTTATAAAGCCTGCTGTAACCGTCCTGTTTAGTGTGTTGATGTTGGCAGTCTATGATGTACTTAATGGTGAGGTGCATCTTTAATGTGCTTCTTACTGTAGAATTTATCAACATTTACATCATACACTTTCATCACACACCTGCATCGAACACCTTTATCAAACACCATCAAACACCTTTGTCACACAACTGCATCAAACACCATCACACACCTTCATCAAACACCTTTGTCACACCTGCATCAAACACCTTTGTCAAACACCATCAAACACCTGCATCACACACCTGTATCAAACAACTTCATGACACACCAGCATAATTTAAAAAAAATAATTTTCTGTGTCGGGTTACTGTCTGCTAGGTCTGTCTCTCCAGTATTTGAACTGTGTGTGTGTGAATCTGATGTGTGTGTATGTGTGTGTGTGTGTGTGTGTGTGTGCGTATGTGTGTCAGCACATCTATTGTGTTTGTCAGTGTGTGCATATGTCTATCCCAGTGTCCTATAAAGACACCACAAAGACCTACTGTAAGATCCTTGATGCCATAAGTTTGTTTTTATCCGTCCAGAATTATATATTTCGTACTGTAAGATCTGTTCATGTACACTATTTTAAGATCTGTTGTATATTTAGACTTTAAAATAAATGTTCTACTAACAATAACATAATAATGTCATGTATGTTGTTTGAATTGCTAATGTCACATACAGTGATGTTGTACTAATGTCAGGTTACATTTTGTTGCAAATGTTTAAAGCTGGGTTAAAAATAAATAAATCTGACTACACAATTTCTTTTGTCTCAGTTGAAAACAAATCTCTTCAATTGCTTTCTGGATGAACTGTTTATTGACTTTCATTATCTTTATAGCCAATTGTCTTCATGTTTTCGTTCATAGCTTTATATGTTTTGTGGTGTGTCTACATCACCATACACAGGTGCCACCACACATCACCGTACACATATGTCGTCACACCACCATACAACTGATGTCACAACACACCACCATACAATTGGCGTCACCACACACCACCGTACACATGTGTCACCACACACCACCGTACACATGTGTCACCACCCACCACGGTACACATGTGTCACCACCCACCACGGTACACATGTGTCACCACCCACCACGGTACACATGTGTCACCACCCACCACGGTACACATGTGTCACCACCCACCACGGTACACATGTGTCACCACCCACCACGGTACACATGTGTCACCACCCACCACGGTACACATGTGTCACCACCCACCACGGTACACATGTGTCACCACCCCACCCGACACAAATCATACACCCAGCAGTTCTATAAATAAATAATGTATGACTCAAGTTACAGTTATGGGAGATTATGTCAGTGATTGTGTCTGTGATTGTGTCGGAGATTGTGTCAGTGATTGTGTCGGAGATTGTGTCAGTGATTGTGTCGGAGATTGTGTCGGAGATTGTGTCAGTGATTGTGTCGGAGATTGTGTCAGTGATTGTGTCTGTGGTTGTGTCGGATATTGTGTCGGAGATTGTGTCAGTGATTGTGTCGGAGATTGTGTCAGTGATTGTGTCGGAGATTGTGTCAGTGATTGTGTCGGAGATTGTGTCAGTGATTGTGTCAGTGATTGTGTCGGAGATTGTGTCGGTGATTGTGTCGGCAAGCACAAGGCTGCATCCATCCTTTAACATTCTCAATATTTGGTGGCACTCGCTTCTCCAAGAAACGTCCCGGGTTTTCTTGGTACGCCCACGTTTATCCCTGTCGCTTTATGTCAACAATTCAAAATTTGTCAGAAAAACACAAATTTTATTTTAAAACTCATATGTAATATATACAAATATACTCCTTTCTCTCACTATATATATATATATATATATATATATATATATATATATATATATATATATATATACACATATATATATTTAAGTGTATATATACATATATATTTAAGTGTATATATACATAGTTCTACACCAGTTGAAACCAATTTTTGTGGTCGTCAGTTAACCCGACATGTCATAGTTTGACCTGACACTGACCTCAGTCCAGTAGGTCAAGGTCACCGAGCCCCGAGCCGCTTGATGGCGCTGTTGGCTCGGCTCTCAATGACGTCATCCTCCTCTTCCCCCGAGACTTGTGTGAGTGCCGGCGTCACACCCTCCGAGTAGACGCTCCCCCTCCACTCCTCCTCCAGCACCGCCGGCTCCCCCAGGCGCAAGAACCTTCTGGAAACGTCCTGGAAGACGTGCGGCCTGACGAAGCTGGGACTGAGCTCGAGGAAGCCTTCACATGACGGCGCCTGCTTGACCAGCGCCCGCTGCAGCTGGTCGAACCTGTAGTCCAGCAACGGCTGGTGCACGTTGACCGGAAGTTGCTCCACCAGGTCGGCGCTCTCATCGTCAATGTTAATGTACGTGACGTCACGATCCGCGTCACCTGGGTCTTCAAGCACGGCTTCCGGTTTGTTGGCTTCAACGACAGCGGAAATGACGTCAGATTCATCCATGTTTTTGGTACTGTCAGTTTGACCGCTAGCTGGGTCAACTCGACCGTTACTTTGACCATTGGGGAAAGTATGAAAAATTTGGGTCAGCCCTTTAGCGCTTCTCTGCTCCCGGTAGCCAACCCGGCTCTGTGGCTCAGTCTGACCCGGCTCCCGGCTCTGTGGCTCAGTCTGACCCGGCTCGTTGCTATGGGCAATGGAAGGCAGGCTAAAATCTCTGTCGTCACTTCCCGTGTGTGACTCGCCCTGTGACGTCGTGGCCTTTCTCGTGCTGGCCCTGTGGCCCCTGGCGAGTCCCCGCGGTCTGGTGGTCTTGTTGTTGTAGCGTATGTCCGGCAGGCGGGGGCCGGGCTGGTGGGCGCCGGGCTGGTGGGTGCCGGGCTGGTGGGCGCGGGGCTGGTGGGCGCCGGGCTGGTGGGCGCCGGGCTGGTGGGTGCCGGGCTGGTGGGTGCCGGGCTGGTGGGTGCCGGGCTGGTGGGTGCCGGGCTGGTGGGGGCCGGGCTGGTGGGGGCCGGGCTGGGTGGTCTGGTACTCTCTCTCAAAGTCCGTGCAGTCGCTGTAGTGCTGGACCTTGGTCAGCTTCTTGAGCGAGCGTTCCTTGAAGCGTTTCCTCAGCAGGAAGGATTTTCTCTGCAGCTCCAGCTCGCGTCGTACTTTCATGCTCTGGGTATCGATACCTGACAGCTGAGCATCGAGTACCTGCAAGACGACGTAACGACAATTAGACATGGCCAGACATATATATATATATATATATATATATATATATATATATATATATATATATATATATATATATATATATATATATATATATATATATATATATAAACCTATAAAGTAAGGACCGAGAGGTGAGTGAACTTGCCGTCTGCTGAGTGACGTTATCATAGAGCAGGACGCGGGGCAGGTTGGTCTTGAGACGGACGATCTCCTTGTATTTCTTGCCGTAGTTGGGGAGGATGTTCGGTGGCCGATGCATGAAGCTCAGGTCATGTGACTGCCGCGCTGGAGAGCCTGGCCATCCAGCTGGTGACGTCATGGCTATTGACCCAGCCGCTGACGCTACGGGTGACGTGGACGTCATGAGGGGTACGCTGACATTAGTACGGCCCGGGGGTGGGGCACCTGACCTGGTAGACCAACATAAGGGGGTTAAGGCACCTGACACAGTTGTTAGGTCACGTGATTGCCGTAGTGGTTAGGTCACGTCTTGGCCGTAGTGGTTAGGTAACGTCTTGGCCGTAGTGGTTGTCACGTCTTGGCCGTAGTGATTAGGTCACGTCTTGGCCGTAGTGGTTAGGTCACGTCTTGGCCGTAGTGGTTAGGTCACTGGTACGGTCACTGGTTAGGTCACTGGTTAGGTCACTGGTAAGGTCACGTCATGGCCGTAGTGGTTAGGTCACGACTTGGCCGTAGTGGTTAGGTCACTGGTACGGTCACTGGTTAGGTCACTGGTTAGGTCACTGGTAAGGTCAGGTCCTGGCCGTAGTGGTTAGGTCACGTCTTGGCCGTAGTGGTACTGGTACGGTCACTGGTTAGGTCAGTGGTTAGGTCACTGGTTAGGTCACTGGTTAGGTCACTGGTTAGGTCACTGGTTAGGTCACTGTCCAACCCGTAGTGGTTAGGTCACTGGTTAGGTCACGTCCTGAACCCAGTGGTTAGGTCACGTCCAGGCCGTAGTGGTAAGGTCACTGGTTAGGTCAAGTTCTGGCCGTAGTGGTTAGGTCAAGTTCTGGCCGTAGTGGTTAGGTCAAGTTCTGGCCGTAGTGGTTAGGTCACGTCTTGGCCGTAGTGGTTAGGTCACGTCTTGGCCGTAGTGGTTAGGTCACTAGTTAGGTCACGTCCTGGCTGTTGTTTTTGGTGATGATGTAAGACCAGATATGATGGACGTGCGGGAGAGAGTGACGTCATGTTTTTATAGTATTGACGTGTTTAGTGACATCACTACACTCGGCAAGTGTGTTGTAGGTCACATTTGGATCGACTGATTTACTCGATACTGACCTCATCACCCCTTCACATGCTGATGTACAGAAATATTAGACCATAGCTACATCTGCCCTATGGGCCGTGAGGACTGGAAGAGAACTTTATTTATCTACTATATTTGAAATGTTCACATCCCAAGAGAACTTTATTTATCTACTATATTTGAAATGTTCACATCCCAAGAGAACTTTATTTATCTACTATATTTGAAATGTTCACATCCCAAGAGAACTTTATTTATCTACTATATTTGAAATGTTCACATCCCAAGAGAACTTTATTTATCTACTATATTTGAAATGTTCACATCCCAAGAGAACTTTATTTATCTACTATATTTGAAATGTTCACATCCCAAGAGAACTTTATTTATCTACTATAATTGAAATGTTCAAATCCCAAGAGAACTTTATTTATCTACAATATTTGAAATGTTCAAATCCCAAGAGAACTTCATTTATCTACTATATTTGAAATGTTCACATCCCGAAAATGGACAAGAAAATAGATTCAAACAAAAATAGACTCTTGCTATTAAAAGTTTGATTCAAACTTTGAACTTTTTAAGCCCGATGGATAAAAAGCGAATCGATAGAATCAATCAATCGCCTAATGCGGAAGTTATCGATACAAGCGCAAATTATTATTTTTTGTTTGGCTGCTGGTTGTGGCCGGTGAATGGACAAACCGCCCGGTGTGTTTGTGTTTCTGATTCTAATTTCGATAAATCAATGCAACTTTCACTTTCAACTGGGCGGGATCGATACCGGAACATGTCCGACTCCCACTTCAAAGGTTCCCGTCACCTGTGCGATACCGGGCCGGTGACAACCATTCAAAGCGGAGATTCTACAAGTAAAGCAGGCGAATTAGGTGACATCCAAGTGACATCCAGGTGACATCCAGTCTGATGTCATGCATTCAACAAGTAAAGCATGCGAATTAGGTGACATCTAGGCTGATGTCAAGCATTCAACAAGTAAAGCAGGCGAATTAGGTGACATCTAGGCTGATGTCATGCTAGAAGACATACAGTCTGATGTCATCAAGCTTGATGTCATGATGACATAATTTACCCCCTTTGCCTGTTTCTTTATGTCTAACCCTAAAGGTGACACAGTGCAAGCAGTACAGGCAATGTGAACCCTAAAGGTGACACAGCAGTACAGGCAATGTGAACCCTAAAGGTGACACAGTGCAAGCAGTACAATGTGAACCCTAAAGGTGACACAGCAGTACAGGCAATGTGAACCCTAAAGGTGACACAGTGCAAGCAGTACAATGTGAACCCTAAAGGTGACACAGCAGTACAGGCAATGTGAACCCTAAAGGTGACACAGTGCAAGCAGTACAATGTGAACCCTAAAGGTGACACAGCAATACAGGCAATGTGAACCCTAAAGGTGACACAGCAATACAGGCAATGTGAACCCTAAAGGTGACACAGCAATACAGGCAATGTGAACCCTAAAGGTGACACAGTGCAAGCAGTACAATGTGAACCCTAAAGTTGACACAGCAATACAGGCAATGTGAACCCTAAAGGTGACACAGCAATACAGGCAATGTGAACCCTAAAGGTGACACAGCAGTACAGGCAATGTGAACCCTAAAGGTGACACAGCAATACAGGCAATGTGAACCCTAAAGGTGACACAGCAATACAGGCAATGTGAACCCTAAAGGTGACACAGTGCAAGCAGTACAATGTGAACCCTAAAGGTGACACAGCAGTACAGACAATGTTTCTGATGCAGTCAGACGAGGGGCAACAACATACAAAGGTCAACAACAAACTGTTCTTTCTAGACTGACCCCCTCTGACAAACAAGCGACTGTACCCTGTGTGTGCGACCCCCTCATCTCAGACCCCCACACCCGAGACCCCCCATACACGGCACATACACGCCACACCTGAGACCCCCCACACGGCACTATTCGACCCAAAGTTTGACAATACAAAATTAATGTCTGAATAGTTTTGTGTAGCAGAAGTGAGAGAAAACAGATACAGACCTGCAGTCTCAACAGCAGACGTCTGGTGCCAGACATAGGAATCTGTGACGACATGACAGGGTGCCAAGGACGAAGGCGGCACAAATCTACTGCCATATCCCCTCCAACACAAAACGAAGGCGGTACAAATCTACTGCCATATCCCCTCCAAGGGCCCATTATTTACTTATGATAAAAACTCTCCCTAACTGTCGACAGCGCTAGGCAACGCGGATATTTGAGCCGCCCGGCACCCCGCCTTGATCGGGACTACTTTCTGGCGCATTGATTTCATTTTTAAGGCACGGTGTCAAGTGTTCTACACATAATGCAGCACAAAAAAAGGTTTCACACCACCCCACCCACCACACATAATATTTTGATCAACTCTCACTTGACGTAACATTGTTTAAAATTTTTTTTTAAATCAAACGAAAAGACCGAGGTTTGAACGACAAACACTTTTCGAGGTCAAATGTCAAATGTCATTGTTGGAGGTAGGTTTATGTCATTGTTGGAGGTAGGTTTATGTCTGTGTTGGAGGTAATTTTATGTCATTGTTGGAGGTAGGTTTATGTCATTGTTGGAGGTAGGTTTATGTCATTGTTGGAGGTAGGTTTATGTCATTGTTGGAGGTAGGTTTATGTCATTGTTGGAGGTAGGTTTATGTCATTGTTTGGGGTAGGTTTATGTCATTGTTGGAGGTAGGTTTATGTCATTGTTGTAGGTAGGTTTATGTCAGTGTTGTAGGTAGGTTTATGTCATTGTTGGAGGTAGGTTTATGTCAGTGTTGGAGGTAATTTTATGTCATTGTTGTAGGTAGGTTTATGTCATTGTAGGTAGGTTTATGTCAATGCTTGAGGTAGGTTTATGTCATTGTTTGGGGTAGGTTTATGTCAGTGTTGGAGGTAGGTTTATGTCATTGTTGGAGGTAGGTTTATGTCATTGTCGGAGGTAGGTTTATGTCATTGTAGGTAGGTTTATGTCAGTGTTTGAGGTAGGTTTATGTCATTGGGGTAGGTTTATGTCATTGTTGGAGGTAGGTTTATATCATTGTTAGGGGTAGGTTTATGTCATTGTTTGGGATAGGTTTATGTCAGTGTTGAGGGTATGTTAATGTCATTGTTTGAGACACACTTTTAAAAACAAACGTGTACAAATAAAAACACTGTGTAATGGTTTGCTAATGCTGTTTTAAGCACCAACAAAACACAAAAGACATGCGTCACCGTATAGCCTCAACGCTGGAATAGCAATAATAATACTGTCAAGTTGTCTAGAGCAAAGAGCTGATTCGATTTGAATTTAAACCAAGTATATATATGTAAAGGAGGGTGGATATATTTAAATATAAAACACACATACACACACACACACACACACACATATATATATATATATATATATATATATATATATATATATATATATATATATATATATATATATATATACGAGAAAAATGGCCCGTTGAGGAAGGATACAACGGGCGCTAGGCTGATAGTGCCGTCTCTTTTCTCTAAACTAAAACCACCCCACCCCCCCCCCCACACACACCATCCCCACCCCCCCCCACACCCCCCACCCGCATACACACCACCCCAACCCCCCACCCCCCCCCCCACACACACCACCCCCACCCCCACCCCCCCCCCCACCCCCACCCCCCAAAAAACATGTCTACCGTCCCATTCAACGAAATATAATTATATACTTTTTCCAGTGTCCGCCCCCTCCCCGAAAATTCTACCCCCGCCCCCGAAAATTTCAAGTACCCCCACCCCTCTCCGGGGAGGAAAAAGTCTGAAAGAAACACTGGTGTCGCGCTTAGCCACTACCCGAAGAATTGCATTAAAGAAATTGCGAGAAAACCACTTTTTAGATTAGACACATTAATTAGGCGGTAATTTTATTATAGAGTATCGATGAGGAAATTTCTTTTGAGTTGGGGAGGGGGGGGGGGGCTCAGACGTTCTTACGCGGGGGGTGGGGCTTCGCCCCTACCCGAAGAATTGTATGCAAGAAACTCTTCACGCAAACCATTTAGATTAGACAAAATTTCCTTTTGATTCAATGTTTACTCGAGAATCAATGACGTCATATTATTTTCTACTCTATGCAAAATGTGACCGCGTCATACTTCGTCTTTCGTTTCACTGTGAGAGTTTTTAATTTCCTTGTGTTTTCTCTAGAGCGTTCTTGTCAGACAGATAGATAGATACATAGAGAGACAGCGAAACTATTATTATAGATTAATATATATATATATATATATATATATATATATATATATATATATATATATATATATATGAGTTATGGTGGTGGATAATTTCAAATGTAACCCATGTATATGTTGGGGGTGTGGGCTTACCACTCCGGGAATCCGCCCGTACTTTTACAAATATACTTTAAAAACTAAAAGTGTAAATAAAATTGTAAACATTACATAAATGCCGTAATGACGTACAAGGAGGTGATATCGAGATTTTCACAAATCTTGACGTTTTACACCTCCCTGAATCGGAAAAGCATAGTGAACTTTCATGAAATTTCACATATAAGTATTGATATACTTGTATTTCTGTATCAACTTTTCAGCGACTTCCGCTAACCGGAAGTAGAACTGGAACTTATTCTACCTTTGGTAAATAGACGATATGTCACATATAAGTAAAAGATCTAATCTTCTGTCGAATTTTGTTTAATTTTCGTTTAAGTGTGTGCTTTACGGTATTTCCGATTTCTGAAATTTTTTTTTCTACAAAGATTCTATTCTAAAAAGTTTTCAAAAGTTTAATTAATTAAAAGTTGATTAAAAATCATGTCTATATCACGAGTTGCCACCCCCTCCCGTAGTGTTATACAAGTATATTCGAGAAAGTTTAGGGGAGATCACTCCCGCTTTAAGGTGCCCTTATTTTGTTACCTCCCTTCTTATATGCTGAACTCGAAACAGATTTACAATGTAGAAACAACCAACGATACGACGTTTATTCTAACAAAGCGTATCAAGCAAAAGTTTGTCATTACAAATTATATAATTAAAAGAAATTAGTTTGATAAATACATTGACACAGCATAAATTGAAGCCAAGTAGTAATACTGGAATAATAATATATATAAGAGTGTGGGTGCCTGGAAAGGTGCCAATGTCTATATTTATTTTTTCGTGCGAGACAAACTGTCAGAAAATTTGAAAACAACTGTCTAAATATCAGCCTATAATGGTAATTGAACGTTTTTAATGTCAGTCCTATGAAGTGGTGCACAAACCTTATTAAATAGCAGTTTAAAAAATGAATGGAAAAGTGAAGGTAAGGAGAGCTAGTTCTCTCATACACTTGTTAGAGACAATCAAAGGCCAACGACCAGAGGCCAACAACGAGGGGACAGCAACAATGGGCCATCTAGTATTGTCTTACTGTGTGTACACATAAACTTCAAACGGCGAGGGACATGGTTTTACAGCACTCGTGAAGCTAATGACTAAATCATCTTTCTTAAAGATACAAAGCCAACATTTACCAACAGACAAAACCACCAGACACCAACAGACAAAACCACCAGACACCAACAGACACCAACAGACAAAACCACCAGACACCACCAGACAAAACCACCAGACACCAACAGACAAAACCACCAGACACCAACAGACAAAACCACCAGACAAAACCACCAGACACCAACAGACAAAACCACCAGACACCAACAGACACCAACAGACAAAACCACCAGACAAAACCACCAGACACCAACAGACAAAACCACCAGACACCAACAGACACCAACAGACAAAACCACCAGACACCAACAGACAAAACCACCAGACAAAACCACCAGACACCAACAGACAAAACCACCAGACACCAACAGACACCACCAGACAAAACCAACAGCCACCAACAGACAAAACCACCAGACACCAACAGACAAAACCACCAGACACCAACAGACACCAACAGACAAAACCAACAGTCAACAACAGACAAAACCACCAGACAAAACCACCAGACAACAACAGACAACAACAGACAAAACCAACAGTCAACAACAGACAAAACCACCATTAATAAGCCAGCACATGTTTTCATAAACACAACTTTGAACAGATTGTGTAAAACAAATCGGTACTTTAAAGTGTAATTGTCATCAACTTACCTGCTGACGTACTGCTCTATCGTCTGCCCCTGGTGTGTTGTGAAAGTGTCAGCACGTCCCACGCTTCACTGCTCGCACTATTTGCCGCCCGGCCAGTCTGGGGACTAATCTACGCAGTCTATTCGACCCCTCTCACATTCCGATCGATTTCTGCCTGGGTAAACTGCTCTTATAGAAATATAAAAAGTAAAAACCTATTCGTATTCGTATGCGATTGCATTTTCATTTGCTTGTTAATTGCCCGTCTTTTGTTGAGAAAAGCCCTATGTGAAGGAATGTATTCATACGCGTACTGCGCCACTTGGCGGAAAATATTGACCCCACTCCTCAGCCAACGGTAGCTTTAACAATCATGCACATGTTCAAACTATATGTAGGGATTTAGGGGAAACTTAAAGACACGGGGACTATAAACCTGGATTTAGGGGGGACCTAGAGACACAAGGACTATAAACGTGTATTTAGGGGAAACTTAAAGACACAGGGACTATAAACCTGGATTTAGGGGAAACTTTAAGACACAGGGACTCTAAACGTGGATTTAGGGGAAACTTTAAGACTCAGGGACTCTAAACCTGGATTTAGGGGAAGACACAGGGACTCTAAACCTGGATTTAGGGGAAACTTTAAGACACAGGGACTCTAAACGTGGATTTAGGGGAAACTTAAGATACCGGGACTATAAACCTGGATTTAGGGGAAACTTTAAGACACAAGGACTCTAAACCTGGATTTAGGGGAAACTTTAAGACTCAGGGACTCTAAACCTGGATTTAGGGGAAGACTCAGGGACTCTAAACGTGGATTTAGGGGAAACTTTAAGACACAGGGACTCTAAACGTGGATTTAGGGGGAACTTTAAGACACAGGGACTATAAACCTGGATTTAGTGGAAACTTAAGATACCGGGACTATAAACCTGGATTTAGGGGAAACTTAAGATACCGGGACTATAAACCTGGATTTAGAGGAAACTTAAGATACCGGGACTATAAACCTGGATTTAGAGGAAACTTAAGATACCGGGACTATAAACCTGGATTTAGGGGGGGGGGGGGAACTTAAAGACACATGGACTCTAAACCTGGATTTAGGGGGGGGGGGGGACTTAAAGACACAGGGACTCTAAACCTGGATTTAGGGGAAACTCAAAGACACAGGGACTATAAACCTGGATTTGGGGGGGGGGGGGGGGCTGTTCCTTTACCGACAGACAATAACTTATCACAGACTAGTCCATCATCACAAAATGTCACAGAATTTTCTGTGTGAGACCATTTCAAACATGGACCATTTGAGCTTTGCTGGTAGCCATGTTGTGGAATGAACCTGTTAGACAGTTTTGTTTCACCTTTTTAGTAAGTAGTGTAACTGTGTAATTGTGTCTCACCAATACTGGTGGGTGTGTCTCACCAATACAGGTGGGTGTGTCTCACCAATACAGGTGGGTGTGTCTCACCAATACTGCTGGGTGTGTCTCACCAATACAGGTGGGTGTGTCTCACCAATACTGCTGGGTGTGTCTAACCAATACAGTGGTAGTGTCTCACCAATACTGGTGGGTGTGTCTCACCAATACAGGTGGGTGTGTCTCACCAATACTGGTGGGTGTGTCTCACCAATACAGTGGTTGTGTCTCACCAATACTGGTGGTTGTGTCTCACCAATTCTGGTGGTTGTGTCTCACCAGTATTGGTGGTTAAGATCAAGTTGCGATCATTTCCATTTGTAGCTTGTTTCACTAGAGAAGTTATTTCCCTTTGTAGCTTGTTTCACTAGAGAAGTTATTTCCCTTTGTAGCTTGTTTCACTTGAGAAGTTACTTCCCTTTGTAGCTTGTTTCACTTGAGAAGTTATTTCCCTTTGTAGCTTGTTTCACTATAAAAGTTATTTCCCTTTGATTACGCTCCCCAATTTAAACAGCAGTTACAAACACAATGTAAGGGGCGCAACTCGACAGGTTGACATTGATTAGAGTTGGTTCATTAGGTGCGACAACTCTACATCAAGTGTCAGCTCAAGGGGGATAAAAAAAGTGTCAAGAGTTCCCGTGGTTTAAAGCGGGCCCTTTAGCTGACGAAGTAGTAGATCTAGGGGGAATTAAAGGATCAAAACTTTGAGCAGTTGAGAGAATTCATTAACTTAACACTGGCGGATCGAAACCCTTTCACAGTGGGGTAGGGGTGTGATTTCATTACCGATATATCCAGTGCCGCTAGAAACGGTGAGTCACCTACTGGGGTGGAGTGTAAAAACTGCCCCTACTACCCCCACCCCCTAATCTTGTCATATAAAACAGTAAATTTAAACTGTCCTTACTTTCTTAAGATTTAAAAGGTAAAAGCTACGTCACATTTTTGAAGATCCCATTCCCCACCATAAGGCTTGTTATAAACGTCTAAACCCCACCTCAGGATGGGGGGGGGGGGTGACGTAGTTTATATAAGGGAGGTGGGGGGGGCAAAGCGAGTGGCACTGAGCTACGGTGTCTGCTGGATATAAAACAATCAACTTGAGGGAGTTTTGTTAACGGCTTACAACAACACGATGGTAGGAGACACAATAAGAAGACACAATAAGAAGACACAATAAGAAGACACAATAAGAAGACACAATAAGAAGACACAATAAGAAGACACAATAAGAAGACACAATAAGAAGACACAATAAGAAGACACAATAAGAAGACACAATAAGAAGACACAATAAGAAGACACAATAAGGAGACACAATAAGAAGACACAATAAGAAGACACAATAAGAAGACACAATAAGAAGACACAATAAGAAGACACAATAAGAAGACACCATAAGAAGACACAATAAGAAGACACAATAAGAAGACACAATAAGAAGACACAATAAGAAGACACAATAAGAAGACACAATAAGAAGACACAATAAGAAGACACAATAAGAAGACACAATAAGAAGACACAATAAGAAGACACAATAAGAAGACACCATAAGAAGACACAATAAGAAGACACAATAAGAAGACACAATAAGAAGACACAATAAGAAGACACAATAAGAAGACACAATAAGAAGACACAATAAGAAGACACAATAAGAAGACACAATAAGAAGACACAATAAGAAGACACAATAAGAAGACACAATAAGAAGACACAATAAGAAGACACAATAAGAAGACACAATAAGAAGACACAATAAGAAGACACAATAAGAAGACACAATAAGAAGACACAATAAGAAGACACAATAAGAAGACACAATCAAACTGTGTCGGACACCTTCATTTATTACTTCAAACATAAACATTCAGGACACATTGAGTAGCTAGACTGGCGGGTCAAGAGGTCAGCGGGTCAAGAGGTCAGTCGGCAGGTCAGCAGAGCAGAGCGAGCAAGCTAATGAGATTAGCGGGTGGATTAGGGGAGCAGCTGCCAATCAAAGTTTGCACCTGGGCCTTGACACACGTGCCGTTACAGAAGAAATCAGACAGCCTGTGGACAAATGTCAAAGGTTAAATCTGGTCAAATGTGAGGGGTCAAGTCTGGTCAAATGTGAGGGGTCAAGTTTTGACAAATGTGAGGGGTCAAGTCATGACAAATGTCAGAGGTCAAGTTTGGACAAATGTTAGGGGTCAAATTTTGACAAATGTCAGAGGTCAAGTTTGGACAAATGTGAGGGGTCAAGTCTGGTCAAATGTGAGGGGTCAAGTCTGGTCAAATGTGAGGGGTCAAGTTTGGACAAATGTGAGGGGTCAAGTCTGGTCAAATGTGAGGGGTCAAGTCTGGTCAAATGTGAGGGGTCAAGTCATGACAAATGTGAGGGGTCAAGTCTGGTCAAATGTGAGGGGTCAAGTCATGACAAATGTGAGGGGTCAAGTTTTGACAAATGTGAGGGGTCAAGTCTGGTCAAATGTGAGGGGTCAAGTCATGACAAATGTGAGGGGTCAAGTTTTGACAAATGTGAGGGGTCAAGTCATGACAAATGTGAGGGGTCAAGTTTTGACAAATGTGAGGGGTCAAGTCATGACAAATGTGAGGGGTCAAGTCATGACAAATGTGAGGGGTCAAGTCATGACAAATGTGAGGAGGGGTCAAGTAAACTTACAGCTGGAAGAGTTGTAGCACTGCATCTGATGATGGGTCGTTGGCAGACAGACACCGGACGAAGGTCGGGGTGGTGAAGATCCAGCCAGCGCTGTTGTAGAGGTTGGTCAGTGACGTGTTGCTGCAGGAGTTCAGGCTCGTGCCCAGAGAGACACATTTCTGGCTAGCACCTGGCCTGGAACAGGTGGGGCACAGGTGGGTTAGAGCACAGGTGGAGCACAGGTGGGTTATAGAACAGGTGGACAGGTGGGTTAGGGAACAGGTGGACAGGTGGGTTAGAGAACAGGTGGACAGGTGGTTAGGGAACAGGTAGGTGGGTTAGGGAACAGGTGGACAGGTGGGTTAGGTAACAGGTGGACTGGTGGGTTAGGGAACAGGTGGACAGGTGGGTTAGAGCACAGGTGGACAGGTGGGTTAGGGAACAGGTGGACAGGTGGGTTATAGAACAGGTGGACAGGTGGGTTATAGAACAGGTGGGGCACAGGTGGGTTAGGGCACAGGTGGACAGGTGGGTTAGGAAACAGGTGGACAGGTGGGTTAGGGAACAGGTGGACAGGTGGGTTATAGAACAAGTGGGGCACAGGTGGGTTAGGGCACAGGTGGACAGGTGGGTTATAGAACAGGTGGACAGGTGGGTTATAGAACAGGTGGGTTATAGAACAGGTGGACAGGTGGGTTAGGGAACAGGTGGACAGGTGGGTTATAGCACAGGCGGACAGGTGGGTTAGAGAACAGGTGGAACACAGGTGGGTTAGGGAAAAGGTAGGTGGGCTAGAGCATAGGTGGACAGGTGGGCTAGAGAACAGGTGGACAGGTGGGTTAGGGAATATGTGGACAGGTGGGTTATATCACAGGCGGACAGGTGGGTTATATCACAGGTGGACAGGTGGGTTAGGGAATATGTGGACAGGTGGGTTATAGCACAGGTGGACAGGTGGGTTAGGGAATATGTGGACAGGTGGGTTATAGCACAGGTGGACAGGTGGGTTATAACACAGGTTGACAGGTGGGTTAGGGAACAGTTGGACAGGTGGGTTAGGGGACAGGTGGACAGGTGGGTTAGGGGACAGGTGGACAGGTGGGTTAGGGAACAGGTGGACAGGTGGGTTAGGGGACAGGTGGACAGGTGGGTTATAGAACAGGTGGACAGGTGGGTTCGGGAACAGGTGGACAGGTGGGATAGGGAACAGGTGGAAAGGTGGGTTAGAGAACAGGTGGACAGGTGGGTTAGGGAACAGGTGGACAGGTGGGTTAGGGAACAGGTGGACAGGTGGGTTAGGAAACAGGTGGACAGGTGGGTTAGGGAACAGGTAAGTGGGTTAAAGAACAGGTGGACAGGTGGGTTAGGAAACAGGTGGACAGGTGGGTTAGGGAACCATTAGACAGGTGGGTTAGGGAACAGGTGGACAGGTGGGTTAGGGAAGAGGTGGACAGGTGAGTTAGGGCACAGGTGACAGGTGGGATAGAGAACAGATGGACAGGTGGGTTAGGGAGCAGGTGGACAGGTGGGTTTGGGAAGAGGTGGACAGGTGAGTTAGGGGACATGTGGACAGGTGGGTTATAGAACAGGTGGACAGGTGGGTTAGGGAGCAGGTGGACAGGTGGGTTATAGAACAGGTGGGTGTGTTAAAGAACAGGTGGACAGGTGGGTTAGAGAACAGGTGGAGCACAGGTGGGTTAGAGAACAGGTGGACAGTTGGGTTAGGGAACAGGTAAGTGGGTTAGGGGACAGGTAGGTGGGTTAGAGCACAGGTGGGTTAGGGAACCATTAGACAGGTGGGTTAGGTAACAGGTGGACAGGTGGGTTTGGGAACAGGTGGACAGGTGGGTTTGGGAACAGGTGGACAGGTGGGTTAGGGAACAGATGGACAGGTGGGTTAGAGAACAGGTGGGTGGGTTAGAACCCAGGTAAGAGCAGGTAGGTGCGGTTGGGGGGGGGGGGGGTTAGAATAAGACTCACTGGTTCTGGACGACGCCTCTGGTGAAGGCACGCTGTAGCATGGCGTTGGAGGGGTTGAGGGTGGGGTACATGGCCTGGATGGCCGCGATCAGCTTACCGCCCTGGCTTGTTGGTGCCAGACCCATCACCTGCCAGTTGGACAGCCACTGTGGATCTGTGGGACACACGGCATACAACGTAATAGAAACCTTAGGGCTTCACATCGTACACTAACTTAAGTAGACCTACCCTACACACAAAAACTTAAACATAATGTCCTTCATTTCGCTCACTAGATGAGGGCAGTAAGCGACATGTAGGCTACTCACGATGACGTCACCAGACAAGATGTACTATGGATGACGTCACCAGACAAGATGTACTCACGATGACGTCACGAGACAAGATGTACTCACGATGACGTCACGAGACAAAATGTACTCACGATGACGTCACGAGACAAAATGTACTCACGATGACGTCACCAGACAAGATGTACTCACGATGACGTCACCAGACAAGATGTACTTACGATGACGTCACCAGGCAAGATGTACTCACGATGACGTCACCAGACAAGATGTACTCACGATGACGTCACCAGACAAGTTGTACTCACGATGACGTCACCAGACAAGATGTACCCACGATGACGTCACCAGACAAGTTGTACTCACGATGACGTCACCAGACAAGTTGTACTCACGATGACGTCACCAGACAAGATGTACTCACGATGACGTCACCAGACAAGTTGTACTCACGATGACGTCACGAGACAAAGTGTACTCACGATGACGTCACCAGACAAGTTGTACTCACGATGACGTCACCAGACAAGATGTACCCACGATGACGTCACCAGACAAGATGTACTCAAGATGACGTCACCAGACAAGTTGTACTCACGATGACGTCACCAGACAAGATGTACTCAAGATGACGTCACGAGACAAAGTGTACTCACGATGACGTCACCAGACAAGTTGTACTCACGATGACGTCACCAGACAAGATGTACCCACGATGACGTCACCAGACAAGATGTACCCACGATGACGTCACCAGACAAGATGTACTCACGATGACGTCACCAGACAAGTTGTACTCACGATGACGTCACCAGACAAGATGTACTCAAGATGACGTCACGAGACAAAGTGTACTCACGATGACGTCACCAGACAAGTTGTACTCACGATGACGTCACCAGACAAGATGTACCCACGATGACGTCACCAGACAAGATGTACTCAAGATGACGTCACCAGACAAGTTGTACTCACGATGACGTCACCAGACAAGATGTACTCAAGATGACGTCACGAGACAAAGTGTACTCACGATGACGTCACCAGACAAGTTGTACTCACGATGACGTCACCAGACAAGATGTACCCACGATGACGTCACCAGACAAGATGTACTCACGATGACGTCACCAGACAAGTTGTACTCACGATGACGTCACCAGACAAGATGTACTCAAGATGACGTCACGAGACAAAGTGTACTCACGATGACGTCACCAGACAAGTTGTACTCACGATGACGTCACCAGACAAGATGTACCCACGATGACGTCACCAGACAAGATGTACTCACGATGACGTCACCAGACAAGTTGTACTCACGATGACGTCACCAGACAAGATGTACTCAAGATGACGTCACGAGACAAAGTGTACTCACGATGAGCGCAGTTGATGGCGAGAGAAATGCCAGGGATTCTGGGAGACCTGATCCGGGCGACCTTGTCGTAGGGTGTGAAGGTCAGCTTGAACCCGCATTGATCCGCCTGGGGAGAAGCGTACACAGGTCAACACATCTACTCTCTCAGCGTGTGTGTTTCTGTGTGTGTGTGTGTGTGTGTGTGGATATCTGTGGTTGTGTATTTGTGTGTTTGTGGGTGTGCGTGTGTGTGTGTGTATATCTCTGTGTCTGCGTGTGTGTTCTGCGTGTGTGTGTGTGTCCGTGCGTGTGTGTGTGTTTGTCTGTGTGTATCTGTCTGTGTGTGTGTGTCTGTGCGGGTATGTGTGTATCTGTCTGTGTCTGTGTGTGTGTGTATCTGTCTCTGTGCGTGTATGTGTATCTGTCTGTGTTTGTATATCTGTCTCTGTGCGTGTATGTGTATCTGTCTGTGTTTGTATATCTGTCTCTGTGCGTGTATGTGTGTCTGTCTGTCTGTGTTTGTATTGACATGTAGAACACAACCTAACCTGGAAGACATACTGCTGGTTAACAGTGTTGTAAAAGGTCTTGATGAGAACGCCGCCCGAGGCTGGCACGTTTCTCGACGCCCCGGAGTAGGGATCATTGAAGGGGCCGTTTGGGGCGTAGCTGTTAAAGTTTTCCTTGGTCGTCACCTGGGCGGTGGATATACAGATAACACCATCACATCACGTGACTAGATCATGTAAACATCACATGCACATCACGTGGCTACATCATGTACACATCACCTGCACACCACGTGACAACAAAATGGAATCATCAAGAACCATAAAGTCAGGACAACAAAAGTCACGTGGTTGCTCTACAGTCATGCCGTTAGCTCTCAAGTCATGTGGTCAGCTCTAAAGTCATGTGGTCAGCTCTAAAGTCATGTGGTCAGCTCTACAGTCATGCCGTCATCTCTAAAGTCATGTGGTCAGCTCTAAAGTCATGTGGTCAGCTCTAAAGTCATGTGGTCAGCTCTAAAGTCATGTGGTCAGCTCTAAAGTCATGTGGTCAGCTCTACAGTCATGCCGTCATCTCTAAAGTCATGTGGTCAGCTCTAAAGTCATGTGGTCAGCTCTAAAGTCATGTGGTCAGCTCTAAAGTCATGTGGTCAGCTCTAAAGTCATGTGGTCAGCTCTAAAGTCATGTGGTCAGCTCTAAAGTCATGTGGTCAGCTCTAAAGTCATGTGGTCAGCTCTAAAGTCATGTGGTCAGCTCTAAAGTCATGTGGTCAGCTCTAAAGTCATGTGATCAGCTCTAAAGTCATGGGGTCAGCTCTAAAGTCATGTGGTCAGCTCTAGTCATGTGGTCAGCTCTAGTCAGGAAACAGGTGACAGATGATAGAAACAGACCTGTTGAGACCGCACACATCCGTCCAGCAATTAGACACCTGCGAGAAGAAATATGTGGGACTTACACCAGAGGTGTCTCCCCAGGTAGTTGAAGAGAAGCCATACACGCCGTTGTATGTGACTTTGACGGCCACCTCGAAACCTTCAGCATAAAACTTGCCGAAATCTCGTGCATTGAATGCGTGGACCTGCAGCAGAATAACATACATATATATATATATATATATATATATATATATATATATATGTATATATATATATATATATATATATATATATATATATATATATATTGTGTGTCACAAACCTCAATATTTGCATGTGTGTTTCTGTGTTTCTGTGTCTCTGTGTCACAAAACTCAATATTTGCATGTGTGTTTGTGTGTTTCTCTCTGTGTTACAAAACTCAATATTTGCATGTGTGTTTCTGTGTTTCTGTGTCTCTGTGTCACAAAACTCAATATTTGCATGTGTGTTTCTGTGTTTCTGTGTCACAAAACTCAATATTTGCTTGTGTGTTTCTGTGTTTCTGTGTCACAAAACTCAATATTTGCTTGTGTGTTTCTGTGTTTCTGTGTCACAAAACTCAATATTTGTTTGTGTGTTTGTATCTAACGTCAGACCTGAAACTCGCAGTATCCAACGACCGTCCCATAAAGCTTGAACTCCTGCTTGACGTGGGACAGCAGGTAGCGGCAGGGGTAGGGGAAGTTGACCGTCTCCTGGTTAAACGTCGTCAGGGTCGGGTCGTTCCTTACCTCAGCGTCCACGGTGTCTGTGGGTGGGGTAAGCCGGAGCATGTCAGGATAACGTTACAGAAAGTAATTGTGAGGAAGACAAAATTAGCGGACAGGTTACAAGATCTGTACATAGATACTTTGGCTGTGGTTCTGTATGTTGATAGACTTGTTAGTTTTCATAGATAGGGTACAAAGAAAGTTAGATACAGCGTAGATAGGGTGGAAAGAAAGCTGGATACAGCATGGATAGGGCGCAAAGAAAGCTGGATACAGCATGGATAGGGCGCAAAGAAAGCTGGATACAACATGGATATAGTTCATCAATGTTGAGTACAAATGTTTGGTACAATATTTATTTAGCATAAGGAATGCTGGATACAACAAGGATATGGTACAACAAATGTTGGATCCAAAATTAATATCGTGCACTAAATGTTTGGTACAATATTTATTTAGCACAATAAATGTTGGATACAACATCTATACAGTATAACAAATATTGAATACAGCATTGATATAGTATAACGTGTGTTGGGTGCATTATTAATAAAGCACAACGAATGTTGGGTACACTATTGATAAAGCGAGTGTTGGATACAACATCGACCATGTACAACAAATGTTGGGTACACTACTGATAAAGCGAATGTTGGGCACACTACTGATAAAGCGAATGTTGGATACAACATCGACCATGTACAACAAATCAAAACTTACTTTGTCTGTAACAAGCGAAGCGTCCATCTCCTCGTGAAAATGGCGGGTTATTGCACCTGCAGGTGTTGTTGTTGACGCACGTGGCGTCACTGATGCAGTAGTGGTTACGACATAGCGCTGTAGGTCAAAGGTCACGCGAATCATTAAAATTAACAATTCTCGTTTAACAGCATCATCACTTGGTTTTTCGTTAATTATGTAACAACTACTTACGATTATGTAATCGTAAACCATAGAAACAATTATGAAACAATAAAAACAATAGTAATGATAAAACAATAGAAACATTGGTATAATAAAACAATAGAAACAGAACTTTGATAAAACAATAGAAACAGAACTGATAAAATAATAGAAACAGAACTTTGATAAAACAATAGAAACAGAACTTTGATAAAACAATAGAAACAGAACTTTGATAAAACAATAGAAACAGAACTGATAATACAATAGAAACAGAACTTTGATAAAACAATAGAAACCGAACTCATCAAACAATAGAAACAGAACTGTGATAAAACAATAGAAACAGAACTTTGATAAAACAATAGAAACAGAACTGTGATAAAACAATAGAAACAGAACTTTGATAAAACAATAGAAACAGAACTGATAAAATAATAGAAACAGAACTTTGATAAAACAATAGAAACAGAACTTTGATAAAACAATAGAAACAGAACTGATAATACAATAGAAACAGAACTTTGATAAAACAATATAAACAGAACTTTGATAAAACAATAGAAACAGAACTGTGATAAAACAATAGAAACAGAACTTTGATAAAACAATAGAAACAGAACTGATAAAATAATAGAAACAGAACTTTGATAAAACAATAGAAACAGAACTTTGATAAAACAATAGAAACAGAACTGATAAAATAATAGAAACAGAACTTTGATAAAACTTTAGGAACAGAACTTTGATAAAACTATAGGAACAGAACTTTGATAAAACTATAGGAACAGAACTTTGATAAAACTATAGGAACAGAACTTTGATAAAACTATAGGAACAGAACTTTGATAAAACTATAGGAACAGAACTTTGATAAAACTATAGGAACAGAACTTTGATAAAACTATAGTAACAGAACTTTGATAAAACTATAGGAACAGAACTTTGATAAAACTATAGGAACAGAACTTTGATAAAACTATAGGAACAGAACTTTGATAAAACTATAGGAACAGAACTTTGATAAAACTATAGGAACAAAACTTTGATAAACTATAGGAACAGAACTTTGATAAAACTATAGGAACAGAACTTTGATAAAACTATAGGAACAGAACTTTGATAAAACTATAGGAACAGAACTTTGATAAAACTATAGGAACAGAACTTTGATAAAACTATAGGAACAGAACTTTGATAAAACTATAGGAACAGAACTTTGATAAAACTATAGGAACAGAACTTTGATAAAACTATAGGAACAGAACTTTGATAAAACTATAGGAACAAAACTTTGATAAAACTATAGGAACAGAACTTTGATAAAACTATAGGAACAAAACTTTGATAAAACTATAGGAACAGATCTTTGATAAAACTATAGGAACAGAACTCTGATAAAACTATAGGAACAGAACTTTGATAAAACTATAGGAACAGAACTTTGATAAAACTATAGGAACAGAACTTTGATAAAACTATAGGAACAGAACTTTGATAAAACTATAGGAACAGAACTTTGATAAAACTATAGGAACAGAACTTTGATAAAACTATAGGAACAGAACTTTGATAAAACTATAGGAACAGAACTTTGATAAAACTATAGGAACAGAACTTTGATAAAACTATAACATCTGTAAAGCAAGTCTTACCTTGGGCAGCAGTCTGCCTTAACACGGCACAAAGAAGAATTAAGATCAGGTATCCTGACATTTTACCTGAATACATATATTTAAAAATATATATCTTTGCTATAATATATAAAGCTTTCTAGGCAGGCAAGTCCTAAATATTTTTAATTCGGCTACTAGGTCCTATTCTATGGCCTCAACATTTGTATTGGGCTGCTAGGTCCTATTCTATGGCCTCAACATTTGTATTGGCCTACTAGGTCCTATTTGATGGCCTCAACATTTGCATTGGGCTGCTAGGTCCTATTCTATGGCCTCAACATTTGTATTGGCCTACTAGGTCCTATTTGATGGCCTCAACATTTGTATTGGGCTGCTAGGTCCTATTCTATGGCCTCAACATTTGTATTGGCCTACTAGGTCCTATTCTATGGCCTCAACATTTGTATTGGCCTACTAGGTCCTATTTGATGGCCTCAACATTTGTATTGGGCTACTAGGTCCTATTTGATGGCCTCAACATTTGTATTGGGCTGCTAGGTCCTATTTGATTTTGGTTCTAGCGATATAACGAGTTTCTAGAACGAAAAATATTTGAAGACTGGCCACAAGGCTGATAAAACCTCCACTCTTGAAGTGGGCTATTCTAACTTGAATATCAGATTCTCTTGTTGCCGAGTCTAATTACAATTGTAATTAACGAAATCTTATCTTGTTTTACGAGTTTTGTTCGACTTCCTATTTGACGGGTACATGGGATAGGTTTTATTACTAATTTAATTAAATGGTAGTCAAATGCGATGCCATATTGAAATATAACCAAGTCCTATAACTGTATAGACAAAAGACAACTACATACCTGTAAGTTATGTCCCCTTGCTGTCAGGCCTGCGGATGCTGCAGGTTATATCCGCTGGCTGCAGCCATACCTGTCACAGGTGTGTCAGCTTTACTCACATCTCCAGTCGTTTGTTCTCACACGTCTCGTCCGTTTATGGCCTGCCGTTAATTTATCTCACCTCGTCTCTCATTGGTTGCCCGGGTCACGTGCTCGGCAGGTCAAGAACAAAATCCAAAAGAACAAAATAAAGGGTCATTATTCCAGTCATTAACTTGGGTCATTAATCCAGTCATTAACTTGGACATAAGATAACCAGACTGAGATTTACTGTTTGCATGATGTGTTGATGCCCCCATAAACCAGCGTTATGTGAACTTCTGAGATTTGCAGACACGTACTTCTGAGATGTTGAGATTTGCAGGCACGTACTCCTGAGATGTTGAGATTTGAAGGCACGTACTTCTGAGATGTTGAGATTTGCAGGCACGTACTTCTGAGATGTTGAGATTTGCAGGCACGTACTTCTGAGATGTTGAGATTTGCAGGCACGTACTTCTGAGATGTTGAGATTTGCAAGCACGTACTTCTGAGATGTTGAGATTTGCAGGCACGTACTTCTGAGATGTTGAGATTTGCAGGCACGTACTTCTGAGATGTTAAGATTTGCAGACACGTACTTCTGAGATGTTGAGATTTGCAGGCACGTACAGTTATAAAATTACAGAATGCAGCTCCACTATACGAACATTAGGAGAGATTGAACTTTACGAGTTCCGAAGTGTGATTCTAATTACGAACAACCTGAACTAGCTTGTGGTGGCAGCTCTGAGCGACGGGTTCACAGCAATGTAGTCACGTGAGACAACATTTGGTCAGAATGACCTGTGGGGGGAGGGGGGGATAGAATTAGGGTCAAATTTATCAGCAGTGTCTTATCCCTGCTAATACCTCTCACGTATTCTGTGTGTGTGTGTGTGATGGGGGGGGGGGTATGTGGATGTAAACTATATGTTTTCATCTTTCTGAGGACTGCTTCAAAGCTGGAGGAAAAGTGTTCCAAGATACGAACACTGTCAATTCACAGAAAGCGGTTAATTTCGTAGTCCGAGACCATACTTGGCTAGCTAGGTGTTGAGAGCGAGCGAGTGTAAGCCAACAGAATCGATCCCCACCTTACTAGTCTTGATCGATTCGAGTTAGGAAACATCCAGGTCACGCGATGAAAGATGACCAAGTTTACAGGTGTCATTAACAGGGCGATAACTTTTAATGAGGGGACGCAGCTAATGAACGACCGCAGCTGACGAACCTTTCAAACAACCGTCCGTCATTTCAAAACAAAATTCAAGATAAACATGCTTTGAAGGGGAGGTTGTCCGGGGTGCAGGGGGTGGGAGGTGGGGGTGGGGACGTTGAGTACACTTGGACAGAGATGTTCTAATACATCATGAGAAATCAGAGAGACATCCTTGAACATCATTTATTCACAAACACTGACAGACATCATCAGACATGACAAACATCACACCACATCATCAGATAGACATGAGAAACATCACACACATCAGACTTCATCTTTAGAAATACATCATAGCGCATTGTAAGACATCACATTATATTTTATAATAAATCAGCAGACAAACAAAAAAAAATAGTACGGTTTTCTTTAATTACAAAATAAATGAATCGTATAAATTAAATACTTTAAAATCCTACTATAAAGATAACAAAACAATCGGTGTCATACTTTAAAGTTTATGGTGGTGAAGTGGTGTGTGAATGTTTTGTGGTGTGGTGTGTGGTGTCAGGTGAGAGATGAGTGAGCTAAGTTGTGTTATGTCAGGTAGTTTAGTGTGGGGCAGAGGCGTAGCTTGGGGGTGGGGGCGGGTGGGGTGGCTGCCCCGGGTGCCGACTGAATTGGGACGCCGATCAGGGTAGGAAAATAAATTTAAAAAACTCATTTTAAGCTGCATTACTAAATTATACACAGTTGAAGCTATGGAAATTGCAATAAAAACCATTAAGGGACAGTGACTGGTAAAAAGGGCTCCCGATATTTCCCACCTGGGGTGGGGAGGGGGCGCTTTTTTTGCCATTGCCGATTTGAATAACTATACATATGAGGGAAGGGGCGCAGAGTTGATAATTCGCCCCGGGCGAATATGTCACTACGCCTATGATGTGGGGTGTAGAGTATGCGTTTTAATGTGTGGTTAGCATCTAGTATCCACGTTACCCCACCCCACCCGTCTCGTAATGCAAAAACAACAATAATTGATGCCCAAAGAATGGACTGGAAATAAATACACCCTGCCCCACACATTCACTCCACCCCACACAGCTCACGTGTCCACCAACTACTTCACACCCACAGACCCCACCTACACAATACACACAACACCCCCACACCACACCCCGACACAAACACATGCTTAGTTAGATACCATACAGTCAAGCTAATCTATGATTTTTACTTTCTCGTATATACGAAGTATAGAGAAAGTCTTGTAATCGTGCAAAAAAAAAAATCGAGATTTTTACAAATCTCGACGTTTTACACCTCACTGATACGGAAAAACATAATTTTGCAATCTTGTCCGTATGTCTGTGTGTCTGTCTGTGTGTCTGTCTGTCTGTCTGTGTGTGTGTAACACGATAACTTGAGTACCGTTACAGCTAGGTTGATGAAATTTCATATATAAGTATTTTATCAAAATCGTAGATCCGGATCAACTTTTGAGCGATTTCCGATAACCGGAAGTGGTACTTTTCCTACTTTGAATTTTTCAAAAGCCTATTACTTAAGTACTATTTCAGATAGATAAATGAAATTTCACATGTAAGTAAAAGATCTAATTCTCTACCTTCTGTTAAATTTTGAGTAATTTCCGTTGACCGGAAGAAGTAATTTACGCTACTTCCGATTTCTCAAAAAACTAATGTAAATTTTAAAAGTACTAATAATATTGCGCACTGTTATGCGCTTTTTGATTTGGCGTACACTTGGTGTGCAATTAATTTGTCTACGAGATTTTATTCTATTTTTAAAAATTTAAGTATTTAAAATGGATTAAAAATCATGTCTATAGCCCGAGTTCCCATCCCCTGCTATTTTATATAAGAATATTCGAGAAAGTTTAGGGGAGATCACTCGCGGTTTATTTTGTTCAGGTAATATGTTTAAGTCTGTCGCATAGAATTTAGTGTCCTATGTAAATTAAATTTGATCCAAAAAATATATCCAACTAAGAAAACTGCCGAACGCCAGGAAAGGTAACTCATGAAACTGTTTTAACCACAATTAATTTTCTGACCTCCCTTTTTAGAATTCATTTTTCAACGGTTGGAAGATTTTCCGTTTTTTTTAACAAGCTTTTATTTAGTTCGCAACGTCTGTTTCAGGGTTTGTGGCAAATCTTGTAACTCAATTTTGACACACTTCTAATGCAGTGATTTCGTTTAAGCTTTAAGGTACGTTCCATTTCGGTGGCAATACACGTCTATATATTATTTTATTTAATTAGATGGTTAATTAGTCATTAAAAATTAATTGAACGGGTTTGAAATCTAGGGGAGATAATAAAATTAAATCACTCGAGACATTACTATATTCAATAACAGAAGGGGAGATAACTAGCTAGACTACCAGACGCTATCAACCGACCAGTTTGGTGAGCTGTGGTTCACGTCGAATGTTTACAATCGTAGAGCCGGTCGATCTGGTGAAGGCTAATAGGGGCAGGTAATGAAGTTTTTAAACGATTTGAAACTAAGGGGAGGTAAAAAGATTTAGAACTTGCTGTCGTTTGTAAAATATGATTGAGTACAACTGGTTTCACTAGGCAGATAATTAGCAGATAATCGTCTTTCAGATATCGCGAGCTACCGATGGCGTTTTAAAGCAAATTCTTTTTTGGCGTGTCGACTTCGTAAGTTAGGAATCCCTAAAAAGTAGAAAATAAAAATTAAAAAAACTTTATAGCTACAAGCTTTTAAATGTATGGACAATTAATCAATTAGCTTTCTTTCACAAAAACTATGATCGTTCTTGAGATCTTATACATTTTATTTTTTTATTCCGTGCATTTAAAAGCTTTGTTGCTATAAAGGTTTTTATAATTGTTTATTGAGAAAAAAAATATTAGCTCCGACGACTGATGGATATTGTTTTTATATTATTAGAATGAGAAATGGGAATACAAATTATATGTTTAAAGTAACAAATGTACAAATAGAAATTTATGTTAAGTTTTGTCATGTTTTATTTATTTCGTATATTTCCTCATATTATTTGTTGAACGTTTGAAATTATTAAAAAAATTATAAAGATATTTTCTGATAATATTCTCAATCATCCTGTTTTAGCAATGTGCATTTAAAAAGGAAATCCGATTCCTTCAATATGTTCATTGCAAGTAACGATAAATCTTTTCACAAAAACTTCTCACGAGTAATAATTTGGTTACTTCCCTTATATTGTTGCATTTATTTTATCGATTTTTTTTTCAAATACGTTTATTTATGTTAAGTATTAAATCATTATTTTGGGCCTGTTCAAAATTTGTCGGCAGCCACTACTAATTTCCAAGCAATATATTTCCAAGGCAACATCATCATCACTGCCCTAACCCTGCTGGGGTATGGGCCGCCAACCAAAGTTCTCTGTCCTGCTGGGGTATGGGCCGCCAACCAAAGTTCTCTGTCCTGCTGGGGTATGGGCCGACAACCAAAGATCTAAAGAGCCCTCTGTCCTGTGCCAATTTCTCAACATGACTCCATGTGAACACCATGTCTGTAGCTTCCGCTGCCAGATCTAGCATACAGTAAATCTTATGATAAACAGATCTTAGTCTAGCCATTCTTTACCCTAAATCTTATGATAAACAGATCTTAGTCTAGCCATTCTTTACCCTAAATCTTATGATGAACAGATCTTAGTCTAGCCATTCTTTACCCTAAATCTTATGATGAACAGATCTTAGTCTAGCCATTCTTTACCCTAAATCTTATGATAAACAGATCTTAGTCTAGCCATTCTTTACCCTAAATCTTATGATGAACAGATCTTAGTCTAGCCATTCTTTACCCTAAATCTTATGATGAACAGATCTTAGTCTAGCTATTCTTAACTGTAAATCTTATGATAAACAGATCTTATTCTAGCCATACTTTACCGTAAATCTCATGATGAACAGATCTCAGTCTAGCAACACTTTACCGTAAATCTTTTGATGAAGAGATCTTAGTCGTCTAGCCAATCTTTACCGTAAATCTTATGATAAACAGATCTTAGTCTAGCCATTCTTTATCGTAGATCTTATGATGTATAGATGTCCGTTTAATCTTTCTATACCTTTAATATGATGATCTAGTACTAATAGGCTGGTGTATGTGTGTGTGTTTGCGTGTATGTGCGTTATTCGCTAGCTTGTGTGTCAAACTTGCAAACATTTACAAGTCTATGTTAAAATCTAACCAGCATCTCCCCCCCCCCGCCCCATATCGACCAAACCTTCATCACATGATCACAAATTACTTAATCGATTACAAATCGTTCAAGTCGTTGGACATTGATGTGATTCAAACTGTCTTCGGCAGGTCTATGTTGATGTATAGGTCAAACAGGTCCGTGTTGATGTTTAGGTCTGTGTTGATGTTTAGGCCCATGTTGATGTTTAGGCCCATGTTGATGTTTAGGTCCGTGTTGATGTTTAGGTCCGTGTTGATGTTTAGGTCCGTGTTGATGTTTAGGTCCGTGTTGACATTTAGGTCCGTGTTGACATTTAGGTCCGTGTTGATGTTTAGGTTCGTGTTGATGTTTAGGTCCGTGTTGATGTTTAGGCCCGTGTTGATGTTTAAGTCCGTGTTGATGTTTAGGTCCGTGTTGATGTTTAAGTCCGTGTTGATGTTTAAGTCCGTGTTGATGTTTAGGCCCGTGTTGATGTTAAGTTCCGTGTTGATGTTTAGGTCCGTGTTGATGTTTAGGCCCGTGTTGATGTTTAAGTCCGTGTTGATGTTTAAGTCCGTGTTGATGTTTAAGTCCGTGTTGATGTTTAGGTCCGTGTTGATGTTTAGGTCCGTGTTGATGTTTAGGTCTGTGTTGATGTTTAGGTCCGTGTTGATGTTTAGGTCCGTGTTGATGTTTAGGTCCGTGTTGATGTTTAGGTCCGTGTTGATGTTTAGGTCAAACAGGGCCGTGTTGATGTTTAGGCCCGTGTTGATGTTTAGGTCCGTGTTGATGTTTAGGTCCGTGTTGATGTTTAGGTCCGTGTTGATGTTTAGGTCTGTGTTGATGTTTAGGCCCGTGTTGATGTTTAGGTCCGTGTTGATGTTTAAGTCCGTGTTTATGTTTAGGTCCGTGTTGATGTTTAGGTCCGTGTTGATGTTTAAGTCCGTGTTTATGTTTAGGTCCGTGTTGATGTTTAGGTCCGTGTAGTTCGTCCGTCCGTCAGTGCGTGTGTCCTTCAATCTGTCTGTATGTCTGTCATCGCGATAACTTGAGTACCGTTTTTGCTAGGTTGACGACATTTCAGTTATAAGTATTATAAAATTTGTCGTTTTTAAAAAAAAGATATTTCCACTAACCGGAACTGACGCTTCCGGTCACATAAAAGCCAATAACTAGAGCACCATTTCAGTTCGGTGGATGAAACTTCACATAGGAGTGTTACAATAAGTTACATAATATACGCAGGTTTTGGTTGACCTCAAAACACCGGAAGTGGTACTTTACTCTTTATCTGGTTTCTTAAATACCGATAATTTGAATACCGTTTTAGTTAGGTGGAGGATATTAAATAAATGTGTATAAGGTCCTTTTCTTTTTCAATTTTTTGGGTGATTTCCGTAGACCGAAAATAGTACTTTACGCTATTCCCGATTTCTGAGAAAAGCTCACTTCTACTGAACGGTCTATTTCAAACTTTTGCAGTTGCAAGGTCAAGACTCGATGCTTAATTAACTTGATAATAAGTAACCAATGTTCCATGTGTAAAGAACAAATTCTCCGCTCTATTGTACACATGTTGTTGTTATTCACTTGGTTCACGCTCTGCGATGCCATTTTTTTAAAAATTTTGTGTTAAAAAGTTTTTGAAAAAAAATTAATTAGGCATCCAATTAAGTCAAATTGAATGTCATGATGTCTTCATGTCTTGACCCACGTACCAACTACGAACCGTATCTGTCAGTTAGAAGTGCCTGCAATTTCGCTCGGGCGTTTCGATCTAGACAGAGACTGACGACGGACGAGGAAGTGAGTTAAATAAAAGCTTGTAAAAATCCCTAATGGACGATTGTTCAAATACTTGTGACACATTAGAATATCCCAAATGATATTATTCAGGCGAGAGGCAGTGACATAGTGTGTGTGTCTGTGTCTGTGTGTGTGTGTTGTTAGTGTATTTCGCCACGTGACTGGTGCTACAGACACATGTGGCAAAGACAAGTCGCTAGGTGTTGTAGTGACCACACAGTTGCTATAGATTAGCTCTACTTCATCTGCCATATTTAGGGCTACACCATCAACACAACAATATAAAAATGACAATTTTGTTTCAATTCTTTTTTTTTTCTCCAATCAAGAAAAGTTTTCAAGGCAATCCTTCGGATACCAGAGTCAGCGGGTCAGAGGGTCAAAGGTCAGGGGCGCTAGCAGGTCAACAAGTTCAGCACGTTTGTGTACTCAGGAGGGGCGGGGCAGGTACCCACGATGGCCTGTATCTGTGCCTTGACACACATTTGGTCGCAGAAAAAATTGGCGTGTCTGTAGAGGACACAGTCAAAGGGTTGACGTCTGCTAACTAGCACGTCAACACGCCTGCTAAATGGCACGTCAACACGTCTGCTAACTGGCACGTCATCACGTCTGCTAACTGGCACGTCAACACGCCTGCTAAATGGCACGTCAACACGTCTGCTAACTAGCACGTCAACACGTCTGCTAACTGGCACGTCAACACGTCTGCTAACTGGCACGTCATCACGTCTGCTAACTGGCACGTCAACACGTCTGCTAACTGGCACGTCATCACGTCTGCTAACTGGCACGTCATCACGTCTGCTAACTAGCACGTCAACACGTCTGCTAACTGGCACGTCATCACGTCTGCTAACTGGCACGTCATCACGTCTGCTAACTGGCACGTCATCACGTCTGCTAACTGGCACGTCAACACGTCTGCTAACTGGCACGTCATCACGTCTGCTAACTGGCACGTCATCACGTCTGCTAACTAGCACGTCAACACGTCTGCTAACTGGCACGTCAACACGTCTGCTAACTAGCACGTCAACACGCCTGCTAAATGGCACGTCAACACGTCTGCTAACTGGCACGTCATCACGTCTGCTAACTGGCACGTCAACACGCCTGCTAAATGGCACGTCAACACGTCTGCTAACTAGCACGTCAACACGTCTGCTAACTGGCACGTCAACACGTCTGCTAACTGGCACGTCATCACGTCTGCTAACTGGCACGTCAACACGTCTGCTAACTGGCACGTCATCACGTCTGCTAACTGGCACGTCATCACGTCTGCTAACTAGCACGTCAACACGTCTGCTAACTGGCACGTCATCACGTCTGCTAACTGGCACGTCATCACGTCTGCTAACTGGCACGTCATCACGTCTGCTAACTGGCACGTCAACACGTCTGCTAACTGGCACGTCATCACGTCTGCTAACTGGCACGTCATCACGTCTGCTAACTAGCACGTCATCACGTCTGCTAACTGGCACGTCATCACGTCTGCTAACTAGCACGTCATCACGTCTGCTAACTGGCACGTCAACGCGTCTGCTAACTGGCACGTCATCACGTCTGCTAACTGGCACGTCATCACGTCTGCTAACTGGCACGTCAACGCGTCTGCTAACTGGCACGTCATCACGTCTGCTAACTGGCACGTCATCACGTCTGCTAACTGGCACGTCATCACGTCAGCTAACTGGCACGTCAACGCGTCTGCTAACTGGCACGTCATCACGTCTGCTAACTGGCACGTCAACACGTCTGCTAACTGGCACGTCATCACGTCTGCTAACTGGCACGTCATCACGTCTGCTAACTGGCACGTCATCACGTCTGCTAACTGGCACGTCATCACGTCTGCTAACTGGCACGTCATCACGTCTGCTAACTGGCACGTCATCACGTCTGCTAACTGGCACGTCATCACGTCTGCTAACTGGCACGTCATCACGTCTGCTAACTAGCACGTCATCAACAAGCTAAGATTGGGGGTGGGGTGGGGTGAGACTTACAGCTGGAAGAGGTGTAGCACGTTATCTGATGCCGGGTCGCTGCCAGATATACAGCGGGTAAACTGGGTGTAGTCGCCAAAGATGTAGGAACTCAGGTCGTAGAGCGTGTCCAGTTCTGTCTGGTTACAGGAGGAAAGGCTGGAACTGACCGCACCACATCGCATGCTGGCACCAGGGCTGTAATACAGCGGTGGGGTAGGGCAGATGTGTGGGGTAGGGTAGGTGGGTGGGGTAGGGCAGATTGGTGAGTAGGGCAGGTGGGTGGGGTAGGGCAGGGGGGGTGGGGTCGGACAGATGGGTGGGGGTAGGGCAGATGGGTGGGGCAGATGGGTGGGGTAGGGCAGGGGGTGGGGTAGGGGAGATGGGTGGGGGGTAGGGCAGATGGGTGGGATAGGGCAGATGGTTGGGGTAGGGCAGATGGGTAGGGTAGGGCAGATGGGTGGGGTAGGGCAGATGGGTGGGGTAGGGCAAATTGGTTAGGGCATATGGGTGGGGTAGGGCAGATGGTGGGGTATGGGAGATGGGTGGGGTAGGGCAGATGGGTGGGGTAGGGCAGATGGTGGGGTAGGGCAGATGGTGGGGTAGGGCAGATGGGTGGGGTAGGGCAGATGGGTGGGGTAGGGCAAATTGGTTAGGGCATATGGGTGGGGTAGGGCAGATGGTGGGGTATGGGAGATGGGTGGGGTAGGGCAGATGGGTGGGGTGTGGGAGATGGGTGGGGTAGGGCAGATGGGTGGGGTAGGGCAGATGGTGGGGTATGGGAGATGGGTGGGGTAGGGCAGATGGGTGGGGTATGGGAGATGGGTGGGGTAGGGCATATGGGTGGGGTAGGGCAGATGGGTGGGGTAGGGCAGATGGTGGGGTAGGGCAGATGGGTGGGGTAGGGCAGATGGGTGGGGTAGGGCAGGGGGTGGGGTAGGGCATATGGGTGGGGTAGGGCAGATGGTGGGGTAGGGCAGGGGGTGGGGTAGGGCAGATGGGTGGGGTAGGGCACAAACACACACGCAGACACGCACATACACACACGCACGCACACACAGATCAGCCCAGGAGGGTACGGCTAACCAACTCACTGGTTCTGTAGCACACTTCTGGTGAATGCGCGGTGCAACATGGCGTTAGCCGGACACAGGTAGGGGTACATGTCCTGGATCTCTGACACTAGCTGACCCCCCGCGCTCACTGGCGCCAGGGCCAGGACCTGCGAGCCAGACATCCAGACAGGATCTGTAAGATGTAATCATTACATACAGGGTATGTAAGATTTGGTCATTACATACAGGGTATGTAAGATTTGGTCATTACATACAGGATCTGTAAGATTTGGTCATTACATACAGGATCTGTAAGATTTGGTCATTACATACAGGATCTGTAAGATTTGGTCATTACATACAGGATCTGTAAGATTTGGTCATTACATACAGGATCTGTAAGATTTGGTCATTACATACAGGATCTGTAAGATTTGGTCATTACATACAGGATCTGTAAGATTTGGTCATTACATACAGGATCTGTAAGATTTGGTCATTACATACAGGGTATGTAAGATTTGGTCATTACATACAGGGTATGTAAGATTTGGTCATTACATACAGGGTATGTAAGATTTGGTCATTACATACAGGATCTGTAAGATTTGGTCATTACATACAGGATCTGTAAGATTTGGTCATTACATACAGGATCTGTAAGATTTGGTCATTACATACAGGATCTGTAAGATTTGGTCATTACATACAGGATCTGTAAGATTTGGTCATTACATACAGGATCTGTAAGATTTGGTCATTACATACAGGGTATGTAAGATTTGGTCATTACATACAGGGTATGTAAGATTTGGTCATTACATACAGGGTATGTAAGATTTGGTCATTACATACAGGGTATGTAAGATTTGGTCATTACATACAGGGTATGTAAGATTTGGTCATTACATACAGGGTATGTAAGATTTGGTCATTACATACATGATCTGTAAGATTTGGTCATTAAATACAGGGTATGTAAGATTTGGTCATTACATACAGGATCTGTAAGATTTGGTCATTACATACAGGGTATGTAAGATGTGGTAATTACATACAGGATCTGTAAGATTTGGTCATTACATACAGGGTATGTAAGATTTGGTCATTACATACAGGATCTGTAAGATTTGGTCATTACATACAGGGTATGAAAGATTTTGTCATTACATACAGGGTATGTAAGATGTGGTCATTACATACAGTATCTGTAAGATATGGTCATTTCATACAGGATCTGTTAGGTCATTACATAAGAATTTGTTTGGTCATTACATACAGGATCTCTAAGATTTGGTCATTACATATAGGATCTGTTTTGGTCATTACATACAGTATCTGTAAGATTTGGTCATTACATACAGGATCTGTTTGGTCATTACATACAGGATCTGTAAGATTTGGTCATTACATACAGGATCTGTAAGATATGGTCATTTCATACAGGATCTGTTAGGTCATTACATACAGAATTTGTTTGGTCATTACATACAGGATCTCTAAGATTTGGTCATTACATATAGGATCTGTTTGGTCATTACATACAGTATCTGTAAGATTTGGTCATTACATACAGTATCTGTAAGATATGGTCATTTCATACAGGATCTGTTAGGTCATTACATACAGAATTTGTTTGGTCATTACATACAGGATCTCTAAGATTTGGTCATTACATACAGGATCTGTAAGATGTAATCATTACATACAGGATCTGTAAGATTTGGTCATTACATACAGGATCTGTAAGATGTGGTCATTACATACAGGGTATGTAAGATTTGGTCATTACATACAGGGTATGTAAGATTTGGTCATTACATACAGGGTATGTAAGATTTGGTCATTACATACAGGGTATGTAAGATTTGGTCATTACATACAGGATCTGTAAGATTTGGTAAGAGAAAAAATATGATTAAGTAAGACAAGAACGTCGAAACTACTTCAACATGAGGACATTAGATTTCCACTCATCACGATGACGTCATCAGACTTAAACTCATCACCATGACGTCGATGGACAATCTGTACTCACTAAAATCATTGTCGATGTTGAGGGAAATGCCAGGGGTTCTGGGAGAGTTGATTCTCAACACCGTGTCGTATGGTATGAAGGTCAGCTTGAACCCACAGTCGTTAACCTGGGGAGGAAGTTTTAGGACAAGTTTACATTCCTATTTCTTCTGGACTCTTACAACATACATATATATATATATATATATATATATATATATATATATATATATATATATATATATATATATATATATATATGTGTGTGTGTGTGTGTGTGTGTGTATTAAGACCCTTACAACACTGAGTGTAAATCTCACCTGAAAGATGTATTCTTGTGTGACTGAGCTAGATAAATAGCGTTTGACCTTAACGCCGGAAGGTGCAGGGACCCTGATCATAGTGCTGGTGCCAGCATAGGGGTAGGGGCCGTTTGGTGCATAGGTGTTGTCTTCAAATGTCACAACCTGGTTAGTGGCATATACAGCATCATAGTCGTAAATAACAGAACTGACCACAGGACATGAACTGACCACAAGACATGATGAGGACATGAAATGACCAGAAAAATACAATTTTGATGCGACATGACCACATAAACTTTTAAAATTATAATCTTTATTTATAAATAAAAAGGCTTAATATAAGACTTTTAAAAAACATTAAATTCAAACACAGGATAAAATGATATTGTTTAAGAACTTATCATATTGCTAATAAAAGGCGACATGGCGATGAGAGAGAAAGCTGTATGAAGGAAGATGTCCATAAAGAGAGAGAAAGCTGTATGAAGGAAGATGTCCATAAAGAGAGAGAAAGCTGTATGAAGGAAGATGTCCATAAAGAGAGAGAAAGCTGTATGAAGGAAGATGTCCATAAAGAGAGAGAAAGCTGTATGAAGGAAGATGTCCATAAAGAGAGAGAAAGCTGTATGAAGGAAGATGTCCATAAAGAGAGAGAAAGCTGTATGAAGGAAGATGTCCATAAAGAGAGAGAAAGCTGTATGAAGGAAGATGTCCATAAAGAGAGAGAAAGCTGTATGAAGGAAGATGTCCATAAAGAGAGAGAAAGCTGTATGAAGGAAGATGTCCATAAAGAGAGAGAAAGCTGTATGAAGGAAGATGTCCATAAAGAGAGAGAAAGCTGTATGAAGGAAGATGTCCATAAAGAGAGAGAAAGCTGTATGAAGGAAGATGTCCATAAAGAGAGAGAAAGCTGTATGAAGGAAGATGTCCATAAAGAGAGAGAAAGCTGTATGAAGGAAGATGTCCATAAAGAGAGAGAAAGCTGTATGAAAGAAGATGTCCATAAAGTGATGAGAGAGAAAGCTGTATGAAGGAAGATGTCCATAAAGAGAGAGAAAGCTGTATGAAGGAAGATGTCCATAAAGAGAGAGAAAGCTGTATGAAAGAAGATGTCCATAAAGTGATGAGAGAGAAAGCTGTATGAAGGAAGATGTCCATAAAGAGAGAGAAAGCTGTGTGAAGGAAGATGTCCATAAAGTGATGAGAGAGAAAGCTGTATGAAGGAAGATGTCCATAACGAGAGAGAAAGCTGTATGAAGGAAGATGTCCATAACGAGAGAGAAAGCTGTATGAAGGAAGATGTCCATAACGAGAGAGAAAGCTGTATGAAGGAAGATGTCCATAAAGTGATGAGAGAGAAAGCTGTATGAAGGAAGATGTCCATAAAATGATGAGAGAGAAAGCTGTATGAAGGAAGATGTCCATAAAGTGATGAGAGAGAAAGCTGTATGAAGGAAGATGTCCATAACGAGAGAGAAAGCTGTATGAAGGAAGATGTCCATACAACGTGTGTGTCTTACAGTCGAGATGTCTCCATAGGTGGTCGACGAGAAGCCAGACACGGGGTAGGTGTTGCTGTTGTAGGTGGCTTGTAGTGCCACCTCGTAGCCGCGCACATAAAACTTGCCCAAATCTCGTGCATTGAACGCGTGGACCTGCTCACGTGTTTATTTCATTAGCTGGATATTTTAAGTCTAAGTAGATGTACGTCAATTATACAATAATGAAAAGTTAAGACATTATTCGTACATAAACTGACGTCAAGTATATTACAGAGAATTACGACATAAACTGGCGTCCACTACATTACAGGGAATTACGACAGCCAGGCCGGACCTGAAACTCGCAGGAGCCGATGACCGACCCCCCCAGACTTCATCTCCTGCCTGACGTGAGCCAGCAGATAGCGGCAGGGGTAGGGGAAGTTGACCGTCTCGCCATTGAAGGTCCTCAAGTTTGGGTCGTTCCTCACCTCAGCATCCGCCTCGTCTGTTAATGGGGAGGGGGGGGGGAGGGCGAGAAAAGTCTGTTTATCTCAGCAAATATGCACTACATCTCGAGAGAGAAATAAGTCTGTGCTTACATCAACAGACAGACAAAGCTAATACAGACAATATACCAGCCAAGACAGACAATATACCAGCCCAGACAGACAATATACCAGCCAAGACAGACAATATACCAGCCCAGACAGACAATATACCATCCCAGACAGACAATATACCATCCCAGACAGACAATATACCATCCCAGACAGACAATATACCAGCCAAGACAGACAATATACCAGCCAAGACAGACAATATACCAGCCCAGACAGACAATATACCAGCCAAGACAGACAATATACCAGCCAAGACAGACAATATACCAGCCAAGACAGACAATATACCAGCCCAGACAGACAATGTACCAGCCAAGACAGACAATACAGACAGTTAAACAAAACTACAACATAAGAAAGACCTTACTGTTTCTGTAGCACGCGAAACGTCCGTACACTACAACATAAGAAAGACCTTACTGTTTCTGTAGCACGCGAAACGTCCGTACACTACAACATAAGAAAGACCTTACTGTTTCTGTAGCACGCGAAACGTCCGTACACTACAACATAAGAAAGACCTTACTGTTTCTGTAGCACGCAAAACGTCCGTACACTACAACATAAGAAAGACCTTACTGTTTCTGTAGCACGCGAAACGTCCGTTTCCTCGTACAAACGGCGGGTTTGGGCACTTGCAGGTATTGCTGACACAAATGGCGTCACTGACGCAGGAGTGGGTGCCACATAGTCCACCTGCAGGTCAAAGGTCACGTGACGTTAGACTTTGGACGTTAGGTCAGTTGGTCACATGTATTCATTGGTTACATTCTATCACAATTATCAATCAACTTATCACTAAATCATTGGGCCTTAACATAGGTGAACTAATATCACACCTGACACAAGGTGAACTAATATTACACCTGACACAAGGTGAACTAATATTACACCTGACACAAGGTGAACTAATATCTCACCTGAGATTAAGTGAACTAATATCACACCTTACACAAGGTGAACTAATATCTCACCTGACACAAGGTGAACTAATATCACATCTGACAAAAGATGAACTAATACCACACATGAGACAAGGTGAACTAATATTACACCTGAGACAAGGTGAACTAATACCACACCTGACACAAGGTGAACTAATATCTCACCTGACACAAGGTGAACTAATATCTCACCTGAGATTAAGTGAACTAATATCACATCTGACACAAGGTGAACTAATATCTCACCTGACAGAAGGTGAACTAATATTACACCTGACACAAGTTGAACTAATATCACATCTGACACAAGGTGAACTAATATCTCACCTGACAGAAGGTGAACTAATATTACACCTGACACAAGGTGAACTAATATTACACCTGACACAAGGTGAACTAATATATCACCTGAGACAAGGTGAACTAATATTACACCTGAGACAAGGTGAACTAATATTACACCTGACACAAGGTGAACTAATATCTCACCTGACACAAGGTGAACTAATATCACACATAAGACAAGGTGAACTAATATTACACCTGAGACAAGGTGAACTAATACCACACCTGACACAAGGTGAACTAATATCTCACCTGACACAAGGTGAACTAATATCTCACCTGAGATTAAGTGAACTAATATCACATCTGACACAAGGTGAACTAATATCTCACCTGACAGAAGGTGAACTAATATTACACCTGACACAAGGTGAACTAATATTACACCTGACACAAGGTGAACTAATATCTCACCTGAGACAAGGTGAACTAATATTACACCTGAGACAAGGTGAACTAATATTACACCTGACACAAGGTGAACTAATATCTCACCTGACACAAGGTGAACTAATATCACACATGAGACAAGGTGAACTAATATTACACCTGAGACAAGGTGAACTAATACCACACCTGACACAAAGTGAACTAATATCACACCTGACACAAAGTGAACTAATATCACATCTGACACAAGGTGAACTAATATCACACCTGACACAAAGTGAACTAACATCACACCTGACACAAAGTGAACTAATATCACATCTGACACAAAGTGAACTAATATCACATCTGACACAAGGTGAACTAATATCACACCTGACACAAAGTGAACTAATATCACACCTGACACAAAGTGAACTAATATCTCACCTGACACAAGGTGAACTAATATCACATCTGACACAAGGTGAACTAATACCACACATGAGACAAGGTGAACTAATACCACACATGAGACAAGGTGAACTAATATTACACCTGAGACAAGGTGAACTAATATTACACCTGACACAAGGTGAACTAATATCACACCTGACACAAGGTGAACTAATATCACACATGAGACAAGGTGAACTAATATCACACATGAGACAAGATGAACTAATATCACACATGAGACAAGGTGAACTAATATCACACATGAGACAAGGTGAACTAATACCACACATGAGACAAGGTGAACTAATATCTCACCTGACACCAGGTGAACTAATATCACACCTGACACAAAGTGAACTAATATCACACCTGACACAAGGTGAACTAATATCACACCTGACACAAGGTGAACTAATATTACACCTGAGACAAGGTGAACTAATATCACATCTGACACAAGGTGAACTAATATCACATCTGACACAAGGTGAACTAATATTACACCTGACACAAGGTGAACTAATATCTCACATGAGACAAGGTGAACTAATATCACACATGAGACAAGATGAACTAATATCACACATGAGACAAGGTGAACTAATATCTCACCTGACACAAGGTGAACTAATATCTCACCTGACACAAGGTGAACTAATATCACATCTGAGACAAGGTGAACTAATATTACACCTGACACAAGGTGAACTAATATTACACTAGACACAAGGTGAACTAATATTACACCTGACACAAGGTGAACTAATATCTCACATGAGACAAGGTGAACTAATATTACACTAGACACAAGGTGAACTAATATTACACCTGACACAAGGTGAACTAATATTACACCTGAGACAAGGTGAACTAATACCACACCTGACACAAGGTGAACTAATATTACACCTGACACAAGATGAACTAATATCTCACTAGACACAAGGTGAACTAATATCTCACCTGAGACAAGGTGAACTAATATTACACCTGACACAAGGTGAACTAATATCACACCTGACACAAGGTGAACTAATATTACACCTGTCACAAGTTGAACTAATATCTCACCTGACACAAGGTGAACTAATATCTCACCTGAGACAAGGTGAACTAATATCTCACCTGACACAAGGTGAACTAATATCTCACCTGACACAAAGTGAACTAATATTACACCTGACACAAGGTGAACTAATATAACACCTGTAAAGTGAGTCTTACCTTGAGCAGCAGCCTGCCTTAGCACTGCACCAAGCAGAAATAAGATCAGGTGTCCTGACATTTTACCTGCAATAAAGATTTCATCGTTGACAAACTTTTAAACAAACATGTTTTTTTTCTTATTCAGACATAGTCAAATCATTTAAGGGAGGTAATATTTTACTGTTAGAGTCACTGAAGAGATAATAATAAGTTACTGCTCAAGGTATATCACAGAAGGGAGGTAATATTTTTCGGCAGTCTCCATACTAAATAGAAATCAATTTACTTTCATGAACAGATATTCATTAACGTATCTAGTTGTCTACACAAGATGTAATTCATTGACTCTTTTTTTTAAAATACACTAATACAATTTGAAATCACCAGTTTATGCTGAGACAACGATACATTAATTTATTTTTAATTTATCTGAATGTTTAAATGTTACATGGACACAGGCCAAGAGACAACTACATACCTGTGAGTTATGTCCCCTTGCTGTCAGGCCTGCGGATGCTGCAGGTTATATCCGCTGGCTGCAGCCATACCTGTCACAGGTGTGTCAGCTTTACTCACATCTCCAGTCGTTTGTTCTCACACGTCTCGTCCACTTTACGGCTCGGCTATAGATATTGAGAAGCGATACTCAGATACAGATATTGAGAATCGATACTGATAATTTTAAACGTTGCTAATTACTTTCTATAATTTAGAAAATTACTTTCTGATGCATAATTATATTTATTTAAGAAAATAATATTTTCTTAGTTTCAGAGAAACATAAATGTTTTTTTTTTCGTACAATAATGTCACACATCCATGTACATTCGATTCCAGTTGCTTTGAATAACGCATACTAGCGTGCCCGTCCCCGCACGTTGCCGCGGTCTCAGATGAAAGTCTGACGAAATATTTTTAGAGCGTTTCATCAATGCGTTACCTATCCGAATTTCTTAGACGTGTGACATTGTTTCCTAAGACTGAGTTATCTAAATGTAAACAATGCCTGTATGGGTCGAGGCAAGCGTCTACCTACACTACCGGCCAGTTTTACAAAACTTTTGAATACCTGGCAGTTTTACAAAACGAATAAGATTTGAGTAGTTATTTGAATCTTTTAAAATTGTATTTATTTTATTTTATTTATTTTTTTGGTTCGCTGGCCAAATGTTGCCACAAACTGAAGGTGGCCAAATCTTGCGAGCGTGAATCTTGGCCAATAGTGCTGGAATACAGCGATGTGTTACAATGTAAAACATATGGCATATGGGTAATTTGTGCTACTCGCTGCCTGTGTGTATTCTCTATTAGGATATGTGCTACTGGCTATCTGTGTGTATTCTCTATTAGGATATGTGCTACTGGCTACATGTGTGTATTCTCTATTAGGATATGTGCTACTGGCTACCTGTGTGTATTCTCTATTAGGATATGGGCTACTAGCTACCTGTGTGTATTCTCTATTAGGATATGTGCTACTGTCTACCTGTGTGTATTCTCTATTAGGATATGGGCTACTGGCTACCTGTGTGTATTCTCTATTAGGATATGTGCTACTAACTACCTACTAACTAGCTTCCTGGATACTTGCCCAAACCGCATACGTGGCTACCATCGACCAAACCTCATCACGTGACTTAACATTTAAAACTTTCAGACTTCAGTATGCTACGGTTGACATTTATTTGATTCAAATTGTTTTTGTGTCAGACCTGTGTTGATGTTCAGGCAAGCTGACGTGTCCCATTCATGTGATCTAAGAGAAGAAATCATCAAGTGACTTAAAGACGTTGTTGTACCACGTGATAGTTACATGACGTATGCACGTGATGTTCTATGGTTCTCAGACAGACTTTGTCATGCTAGAACAAATTAGAATCTCGTTCAAGATTTTATTTCACCAACGTATGACACGTCAAGTCATACAGTTAGGGACTCCACCCTCCCCTCCCCCAGCCAAACATTTTGATATAAATAAGCTGGATCATGTGTTTGACAGTATTGTTTTGTCCAAG